GTGACCCCGGTGCGTCACACTCGCCCTCCCTCTAAGCCAGCCGGCATTGAGGCTTCTCCATTTCCTTACAAGGTTTGGCCTTTTTTCCTTAACTTGCAGTGTTTATTACAATTCATTCAGTTTTTTTGAGAAAAGCATGTTGTATATAAGTCTTTAAATTATTGTCTATGAGTCTATATATGTTTTCTACAATTTTTCAGAGTAATATGAAGGTCAAAGTGCTTGCATCTGTTGCTTATGGACTTTACTCCAAGCGGAAATCGCTCCTAGATGGATGGCATTCATTTCTGCCATAACGGTAATGGAGAAGCTTGTTTTTTAGCTTCATCAAAATACCTAACAAAATGGTTCATCAACATGCAATGTGTTGTTAGTTTTTTCAGCCAGATGAATCATTTAAATAATTTGTGTTAAAAATGACAAGAATACTCTTATTTAGATTATAGAAAGATAATAAAACTTCAAATTTTATCTAGTTATATTTTAGGCAATAAAATAGGATTTTACAGTTTAGTAGCAAATTAGAATTTTGGAAAAACTGATTTTACGGTTTTGATGAAAAATGTGATTTTGGGGTTTTATGGAAAATTGAATTTTTGCGGACTTTACAAAAACATGATTTTACTGTTCTTACGGAAAAACATGATTTTGCTGTTTTGACAAAAAAGCCGTAATTTTATGTTTTTGACACGAAAATGTGATTTCCGAATATTTTGGGTTTTACAAAAACGTGATTTTGCGGGGTTTGACGGAAAAATGTAATTTTGAGTTCTGACAGAAAAATGTGAATTTGCGGTTTTGACGGAAAAATATAATTGTGCGGTTTTAATGGGAACACCATGATTTACGATTTTTGCTAGAAAACGTGATTTTGCGGGTTTTGCAAAAAAAAAAAAAAAAAAAAAAAAAACGCTATCTTAAGGTTTTGACAGAAAAACATGATTTTCCGGTATTGACGGAAAACGTGATTTGGTGAGAAATTATGATTTTTCGGTTTTTGCGGAAAATGAGATTTTAAAATTTTGGCGGAAAACCGTGATTTCGTGGTTTTGATAGAAAAAAAAAATTTGAAAAAAAAAATCGGTTTTCCTGTTTTAGTGCATAATTTATTTTATTTTAAAAAAAAAAAATCTAAAGTTTTATTCTTCTGTAAATATATATTTATAGATATATTGTCATTTGTATTTTTGGTTTGAAGATGCTTCAATTCAAATCAACTAATGAGTTCAAGGTCTAAATTTTGAAATCTCGTGAGTTAGGAGAATATCGTGATATGCAAGTTATCGTGATGTGCAAATTAAGATATTCTCCTTGTTAGTTATGGCAAGTTTCATTGTACGAGAATATTGGAAAAGATGGTACTAGGTTATAGGAGTTGAGTTGTATATATATGATGTACATGTCTTTGTAAATAAATCAAGAAACTCTTCCACCATATCTTCTTTGTTCAAATAACACGTGACCCCGGTGCGTCACACTCGCCCTCCCTCTAAGCCAGCAGGCATTGAGGCTTCTCTATTTCCTTACAAGGTTTGGCCTTTTTTCCTTAACTTGCAGTGTTTATTACAATTCAGTCAGTTTTTTTGAGAAAAGCATGTTGTATATAAGTCTTTAAATTATTGTCTATGAGTCTATATATGTTTTCTACAATTTTTCAGAGTAATATTAAAAACAAGATTTTTAGTAGATCCAAACCCTCAAATCTCTGCTCATATCATTGCAGTATAGTTTAAGGTATCAATCCAAATCTCGGAGAAGATTGGGTTTAAAGATTGAACAAGAAAACTTCAAGCCAAGAACAAGATTTGGTTTTTATGAAATCCGAACGTTAAACAGTAAAATACAAACTTAGAACAGTGAAATAACGGTCCAAATCCAAATTCAAAGAGGAAAGAAATCGACTTTGAGCTAAAAGACTTGAACTTTGATAAGAAAATGAAGAAAGGCGATGGCTTTAGGTGATTTCGGATGGAAATCGAGCTAAAGGAAGAAGCTTTAAGACTTAGAAGATAAAACCGAGTTTCTAGGCTAAGGAAAACGAAAGCAAGAGCTTATCACTATCGTGAATGAGCTCGAATGCAAGGTCCAAACTCAAGAGCTCACTATCGTGAGTGAGCTTGTACACAAGCAAGCTTTAAACGCAGATCCCATCACCAAAAAGCCCTCTAAACAAATCGCTATCGCGAGCTAGAGAAGCGGATCCCTTGTCTTAGATTATCTAGCTCTCAAACACACTTTTGATGTGTTGAGAGCTTGAGATCTGAGCCAAGATGATCAGAAATGACTCAGCCTTAAGGGCACTAAGCAAGGAGAAACTCTAAAGGTCTAGCTTTAAGCTCAAACTCTCCTTTAAAGCTCTCAAAACCGAATCACCTAAAACAATCTAAAGACTACTCACTCATCCTGTTTGACAACCCGATTCTCATAAGAGGAAGGTTGTTTACAAGTAAATGAGATGGAAATAAAACGAGTAAACAAGTACGTGATTTGATTAAAGGAAAGAGACCAAAGCTTACAAAGTCTAAGATCTCGAACTAGAGTATTTCTTGGTGGCAAAATGAAAGACAAATTACAAGATGCCTAAAAACTTAGGACTTTTTAGTTTATATAGTGGAGACTCTAAAACCCTTCTTCTTTCCTTCCCCAAGATTTAAGCTCCAAAACGCCGCGTTTCATTAAGGCATGGTCAACTCTCTTCTTGGTCAAGGAAAGCTTGTAAGGCGACAAACGGGTTCTGATCCTGGTTCACATCCTGGTTGCTCTTCGTCTTGACGTCTCCGACACTCCTTCTCCCAAATGGCTCCAAAGCTCCATTAAGCACCTGATTCAGACTCAAAATGCAATGTGTATGCAATGCAAGTCCTAATGAAGATGCAAGTGAATAGATAGAGATATATGGATATAAATGTATGAGAATGAGACCAGAAGGTGGAAATATGCATGTAAATGTATGCTAATGTATGTTAATATATGTGTATATCAAATATGAAGGTCAAAGTGCCTGCATCAGTTGCTTATGGACTTTACTCCAAGCGGAAATCGCTCCTAGATGGATGGCATTCATTTCTGCCATAATGGTAATGGAGAAGCTTGTTTTTTTAGCTTCATCAAAATACCTAACAAAATGGTTCATCTACATGCAATGTGTTGTTAGTTTTTTCAGCCAGATGAATCATTTAAATAATTTGTGTTAAAAATGACAAGAATACTCTTATTTAGATTATAGAAAGATAATAAAACTTCAAATTTTATCTAGTTATATTTTAGGCAGTAAAATAGGATTTTACAGTTTAGTAGCAAATTAGAATTTTGGAAAAACTGATTTTACGGTTTTGATGAAAAATGTTATTTTGGGGTTTTATGGAAAATGTGATTTCCGAGTATTTTGGGTTTTACAAAAACGTGATTTTGCGGGGTTTGACGGAAAAATGTGATTTTGAATTCTGACAGAAAAATGTGAATTTGCGGTTTTGACGGAAAAATATGATTGTGCGGTTTTAATCTGAACACCATGATTTGCGATTTTTGCTAGAAAACATGATTTTGCGGGTTTTGCAAAAAAAAAAAAAAAAAAAAACGTTATCTTAAGGTTTTGACAGAAAAACATGATTTTCCGGTATTGACGGAAAACGTGATTTGGTGAGAAATTATGATTTTTCGGTTTTTGTGGAAAATGAGATTTTAAAATTTTGGCGGAAAACCGTGATTTCGTGGTTTTGATATAAAAACAAAATTAATTTGAAAAAAAATATAGGTTTTCCTGTTTTGGTGCATAATTTTTTTTTTTTTTTTTTAAAGAAAAAATAAATCTAAAGTTTTATTCTTCTGTAAATATATATCTATAGATATATTTGTCATTTGTATTTTTGGTTTGAAGATGCTTCATTTCAAATCAGTTAATGAGTTCGAGGTCTAAATTTTGAAATCTCATATGGATGGATCAGGTAGATATTGCTTATTTTTGTATTAAACAAATATCATCCAATTGCTTTATTGAGATGGATCAGCTAGATGAGCAAACGAACAGGGTCTAGTCAAGTAAACTCGCGCAGATCGATAAACATGCGAGTTGCTTTATGAACTTAATTTAGTACAGATTATTAAATGAGTTTTCTAATGAATATGCATGTTGATTAATGACGTTGATTTTGACTTGGGGTTTTCCTCTATGTTAGGCAGAAAAGTCAACTTTGGAAGAAAACAAGAAAGTTGATTGGAGATAATCGGGAAACTTCATCTCCGCTTTCGGATTCCAAAACAACTCTGAATCGGATGAGCGGCAAGCACCAAACAAATCCCCATTGTCTCTTCCGCCATTGGAGATGGATTTCCAAGAGGAAAATGATGATCAACATTAAGTATTTCTCTGGAATTCTGAGTTTTGAATCCCTTGAACCATCTATTGGTTCCAAGACGGAGACGAAAGAGAAAGGGGAAAAAATTAGTCGCTGAGATTGGAAGAGAAACACGGACAAGTAATGGTAGGAAATTTGATTTGAATCATTTATGAGTTGTAGAAGTATATGATTGATCAGAAAGAAGATGAAACTCCGAAAAACGATATATAATATTATTGGATCAAACACTGCAGTTTAACAAAAAGATCAGAAGCCTTCCGGTATAACGAATTGTTTTACTGAAGAACAAAAAGAAAGCGAAGGTGAGAAGCTGATTTTAATCATAATGAATCAATTTGACGGGTTTTTTTAAAGAAGCAACGTGTCCATCTCTCCCGTGCTGACGTGGCAGTCAGGTAGAGAAAGATGGGCAACTTTTATATATAAGATATTGGGCAATTTTTTGAAGGCATTGGTCTAGCATCGCGTATTGCAAAATTGGTTTTCCACATGTCTATTTTTTAACTTGAATCACAGTTTTGATGATCTTATTACACTTCTAACTCGACTGAAGTTTGGTTACTTGATTTTTCAAAATTAGGAACAACTTCACACAACATTACTAATATGTCAATCCAAATTTTATCTACCAACAACCGTAGGTTAGAATCCTCCCTTGATGATTATCTGAGGATATCCACAATGAGCCTCAGCTTGAAGATCAACAATCCTTTCATCGATGATACCACGGGATGGAAAGCTAGCTGACCTGTTTAGGGGTGTCTTCATGCGAGGTTTGGCTGCTTCCGTTTCCTTGTCTTTCCCTCGTGCTCCTGAACTAGTGCGAGATGGCACTTTCTTCATTGGAGTTGTTCGAGACTTTGAAGCTTTAAAAACCGACGAAGAGGATGAGGCATCGGTCTTCTGTTTTGGCTTCTTCGACCAAGGTAGACCTGCTTCTTCAAGCACTTTTATATTCCTTGGCACGAGTGAAGCATCGGCATCACTATGTTCTTCATCACTATGAGCGTATCGTGTCTGATTGAGAAACGAGGCAAGGAGTTCATGCGCTGTGTCAGACAGCGGATCAGGCGATGGCTGCTTCTCGACCTTAGGAGATGGCTCCTTCTTTGTAGATCTGAAAGGCTAACCAGGCTGAAGTTCATCAAGAGCCTCTGTTTCGCGAGCTTCGTCGACATAAGGAAGTGAAACGGCGGATTTTGGATCTGACAGAGGAAGTGAGGCGTCGGGCTCCGGAATTTTCGGCTCTGCTGGTTCAGGGACACCATCTGCATTCACCACCGGAGGTGTAGTGACCGCTACGTCAGTTGCTTCATCAGTTGAAGGTGGCGCTTGGTGATTCACGGCGGTCGGGTCTGACGGATCTGTCGCAGGCTTTTCCGCTGTCGCCTCTTCATCTTCTACTTCTTCTTCTTCAGCTGTAGCAACCGAGTCCGTCTCACCCTCATATAGCACGATCTGCTTGTTGGAATTGTCATCTCCGTCAGTGGCTGGTTCTTGCATATCGGGATTCAGCGGCGGAGAGTTAGGGTTTGTCAAATTGTCGGATGGGTCGTCGATTTCCACCGGGACAGACGCGGATCCGTCACTGTGCTTTTTCAATTGACCTTGACTAGGTCGGATTCTCCCTTGACAAGTATTAGTCACCATTGAAATCGGCTGCTTCAATCGCTTAAAGGAAAGGAGAGATTAGGGTTTTCACAAAAAAACTCTTAACTTTCCTTTTCTACCTCAATTGCCTTTGAACTTTATTGCATCGAGAAACCACTTAAACCAAACCAGAATCACGGAATTACCAGAGGGCTTGTTCGATTTCCTGTAACACTTAGCACCAATATCAGCAGTACAACACAAGGATCCAAAATTGTGACAACCACATAATATTCGATTCAAGATAGAATCCAAACATGTAATACCTCCCATGTGTCACATCTATTAGCTTAAAAACACTTTTACTCAGTTTATCTCAAATTAAATACCTTTCATTTTCGTGAAGGAGACATTGACTGAGTCGGCACTTGCATCAGGATGTATTACAAGTTCTCAACAGATTCATAGCTTGGCCATCCTGATTCCAACCTGCAGCTTTCACTTTGTCATACCCAGATCATATCACCACCTCTAATTTTAAATGATGTGCAAAGTGAAACTCTTTATTTTGTTCAAGGCAGAACATGTGATTGATTTCTGTCGTTGGATGTTGTTCTTGTGAAACATTACCTTCGAGAAAGCTCATGGACCAACTCAGCCTTGTGAGTTGTTGTCAATCCATCCCCTTTCCAATTAGCTCAATTTCTGTCGTCAGACTTTGTTCTTGTGAAACATTGTCTTTCGAGAAATCACATGAACCAACTTAGCCTTGTGAGCTATTGTTGTCAGTTCATCACATTTCCTGTTATGCTCATTGAATCACTTTTTGGTTCTTGAAGCAGCAAGCCATCTCCATCATATTGCATTCATTTGGAGTTGGCTCAGCTGCTTTTTGACCTTGAACATGCTTTAGAATCACTTACTTTTCACTTTTCTTATGTTGAGGTGACATGTCGGCATGACAAAGTAGCTGATCCTCATTGGCACCTTTGACTCCAAACAAAATCTGAACTTGTTATATACACCCCGAGCCAGTGCCTGTATCAGCCCCTGCATCATTCAAAACCACTTGTGCAAATTCCAATGGAATTTCTTAAGGTGACAAAACGGTTAAAGTCCAATGGTTTTGTGAATAAATCAGCGAGCTGTAAATCTGTGACAACATGTTCAAGCACTACCTGTTTTTCTTCCACCAATTTCGAACAAAATGTGTCTTATGTCAATGTGCTTAGTCCTTGAGTGCTGCACCGGATTCTTTGATATGTCAATGGCGCTTTTGTTGTCACAGTAGACCAAGAAGGGTCCAGACTCCATCCCATAATCGGCTGACATCTGTTCATCCATATAAGTTGTGTGCAACAGCTTCCCAATGCAATGTACTCAGCCTCTGCAGTAGATAGTGACACAGAATTCTGCTTCTTAGTAAGCCAAGCAATTAAGTTGTTTCCAAGAAAGAAACAACCTCCACTTGTACTTTTCTGATCATCTGCACATCCTGCCCAATCGGCGTCACAATATCCAGCAAGATTTCTGTTGGATCCTTTAGAGTAGAAGATCCCCAGATTGACAGTTCCCTTGACAGTACCTCAAGATCTTCTTCAGCTTGAAGATGGGACTGTTTTGGTTTGGCCTGATAACGAGCACAACACCAACGCTGAAGCATAAGTCAGGTCTGCTTGCTGTAAGATAAAGCAAGCTTCCAATCATTCCTCTATAAAGCTTCACATCAACGTCTTCTCCATCTTCATCCTTTCCAATCTTGGTGGTAGTGCTCATTGGTGTTCTTGCCTCCTTGAACTTTTCAAGTCCAAACTTCAACAGATTCTTGGCATAAGTGCTTTGAGAAATAAAGATATCATCTTCTCAGTCTGATTGACTTGAAGTCCAAGAAAGTACTTCAATTCTCCCACCATGCTTCACGAAATTTTGCACCAGCTTCTCTGAAGTTCCTCCAAAGATGATATCATCTACATAGATCTGCACCATCATCATGTCATCTTCATTCTCGAGTATGAACAAAGTCTTGTACATGGTTCCTCGGATGTAGTCTGTGTCAGTCAGGAAATTCGTCAATCGCTCATACCATGCTCTTGGAGCCTATTTCAGTCCTCAAAGAGCTTTCTTCAACTTGTACACATACTCAGGATGCGTAGGATCTTCAAAACCCTTCGACTGAGCTACATACACTTCCTCATGAAGAATGCCAATAAAGAAAGCACTCTTAACATCCATCTGATGTACTTTGAAGTTCAGTATGCATGCCATACCCAAGAATAGTCTGATACACTCCAGCCGTGCTACAGGGGCAAATGTTTCATCAAAGTCGACTCCTTCTATTTTCGAGTATCCTTGTCCAGAAAGTTTTGACTAATTTCGGACAATGCTACCAACATCATCTGTCTTATTCTTGAAAATCCATTTTTTACCGACCACATTCACACCACCGGTAGAGGCACCAGTTCCCAGACATCGTTTCTCACAAACTCCTCAAGTTCATCTTCCATGGAGATGATCTAATCTGCATCTTCAAGAGCTTCAGATGGTTCCAAGGCTCTATGGCAGATACAAAACATTCAAACTGAATTATTGCCATACTGACCATCTGCTTGAAGTTCAGCTTGATTCCTCTTGTCTTTTGTCCTTCAGTTACATCCCCAATCAAATCACTCGTGAGTGATTTCTATGAACTTGAGTCATTGGGTGTCCTATATCAACCACTACATCAAGCACTTCTTCATTAACCTTCTCTTCATCCTCAGGCTTTTCTGGACTGGCAGGGGTAGAGCTAGAATTATTATGTAGCAGGGTCATATAGTAAAATAATAATATGAAGAGAGGACTTGAACTTGGGACAAGGGGGTCATATGTGAAGATTTGAACAAAATTAGCTAACAAACACATCATTAATAGGGGTAAAAACAAATATCTATAAAGGTAGTAGCGGTCAGCTGCCCCCTTCCTCCCAATGTGGCTCTGCTCTATGGACTGGCATCCTCTTCATCTACTTCAGCTTGCCTAGGTTCTGGTTCATGAATCAATGGAGAGTCTCCCATAGCTGCAATTGATCAATCATCAAATATCTCGTTAACCGATTCCATAATGATCTTGGACCGAATGTTGTACACTCTAAAGGCTGAACTGTTGCCTCAATAACCCAGAAAGATTCCTTCATCACTCCTTGAGTCAAACTTCCCAAGTTGATCTTTGTCATTCAGAATATAACACTTCATGTTCAAAATCTTCTTCAGAGTCTTCATCAGCAACACCAATCATCGATTTTCCCAGCCTCTCTTCACTTTCACATTCCTGTTGTGCGTGTCCGAAGCCTCTACACTTGTAGCATGTGATATCTCTCCTTTTAACAGTGGGAAATTCAGTCTTGAAATGCCCATAACCTTTACACTCATGACACTGTGCCTCCTTGCTCCCTTCACTCTTGTCATAGGCTTTCTCCCATTACCAGTTCGTGGTTGGCTTTTTCCTTTCTCTAATTTCTTCAGAACTTTGTCAAAGTGTCGCACAAGGAGGCTGATGTTATCTTCGTCAGACTCTGCTTCAGGCTGTTTCTCCATCGACACAAGTGCAATGCCTTTAGCTTTCTTGACTCCCCTCAGTTCTAGTTCATGAACAAGCAATTTTCCAACCATCTCGTCATAGATAATCTTATCGGCATTAGGATTAGCACTCAACCAGCCTTGGAGAGAGTAAACTTTGATGGTAGACACCTCATGAGTTTCTTCACCAGCTTAGCATCCTTGTATATAATTCCCAAGGTGTGGGACTCTTGCACCAAAGCACTCAATTTTGAGCTGAAATCTGCAATTGATTCATGTTCATCCATCGTCATGCTTTTGAACTTGGTTGCCAACAAGTCTTTTCTCGAACTTTGACTTGAGTGGTTCCTTCAAAGTGGACTTAAAGGATGTCCCATGCCTCCTTAGCTAGCTCACAACCTTGAATCAACTAAAACTGCTTCTGTGAGACACTTGCAAGAATCGCAGATAAGCTCTGGAGTTGAACTTGTATTTGTCACGCTAACCAGCATTCCAGCGTTCTCGAGGGATATTATTGGTTACTCCTTCCACTGTGACAGTAGGAGCTTTCCAACCATCTTCAGTCATGCTCCATGCAATTTAATTAATACTTTCGATGTTCGACCTCATCCGGAATTTCCAATACCCATAGTTTCCTGCATCAAGTATCACCTTTAACCCTTCCATGAAGTCGTCCGGGTGATAGCCCTCCATTCCGCAAGATCTCACATGCTATAGCAATACACACAAGGTGACTGCTGTGATACCAATTTGAAAAACTAAGTGCTACTAATGCACAAACAGATCACAAAACAACACAAGGGATTTCTCTACAAATAAAATATATTACTAAAAACTTCTTTACGATAACTTACAAGTACAGTAGAAACTCTATAAATTAATAATGTCGGGACTTTGATATTTTATTAATTTATAGAGTTATTAATATATAGATTTTGTCTAAAAATATTTTTCAAAAAATAAAATTCAATATTAAATCAGAAGTTTCCTTTATACGTATATTTTCTTTATTTTTTTTCTAATGTTTCTATATTTATTTTATTCTTCAGATTTTCTCATACTTGCCATATTATATAAAATTCCTGTTTTGCTTTTACTTTCCATATATGTTTGGTATGTGAGAGATTCAGATTTTAGTAGTTATATATTTTAGGTATATATATATATATAAATAAAAATAATTATTAATTTATGATTTTATTGGGACCATATTTTACATAGAAGTTCAAAAAAAGTTATTATCTTATTATCTTATCGAATTGTGTCATATTTTACACCGGCCCAACTCGGGACCAGAGAAATTTATTAATTTATCGTGTTTATTAATTTATCGAGTATTAATTTATAGAGTTTCTACTGTATATGCTTAAACGAACTCAACAAGCTCAAGACACCCTTGACTTGTTGTTCTAGTAACTCTCACATTCTTAGATCTATCCAGAATCCAAAAACCTCTCAAGCCCTAACCCTTTGTCCTAACTCTTTTACAAGATGATCTAAACCCAAATGCTAAAGCTCTTGATATTTGTGATGGTCGCCTACAAGCAGCCAGAACACTCTATTTATCCACAATAGGCGTGCCAAGAAATCCTACATGGTTTCAGCCTTGGTGATTACTCAAAATCTTCAAAGGAATATTTCCTTCCTTATCTTTCTCTAAGAATAGGAAATATTCATTTTGTCTTGATAGCTCCAAATCTCCTCATCCAGCTCAGCTATCACCTCTTTTGGATTCATCCTTAATCGTTACAAGCTTGCATCCAGTTCAGCAATATTCATTTAGCTCTTCTTAGCTCTGCTACAAGTCCTTCCAATGGTCCTACTGCACTTCCTGACTGATTCATGATCTGCGTCAATCTAGCTGCATCATCAATCTTCGTGGAAGTTAACTATGAGTTCTGGCGTTTATGCAAAAAGGTACGCACGAGTATATTGATGGCTTGATTTGTTATACAGTAGAAACTTTATAAATTGATACTCGATAAATTAACAAACTCTATAAAATAATAATTTTTTCCAGTCCCAAGTCAGGCCAGTGTAAAAATTAGCAAAATTCGATAAAATAATAAGATAATAATATTTTTGAAACTCCTATATAAATATATGGTCCCATTAATATCATAAATTAATAATTATCATAAATAATCATTTATATACTAAATCACAAGTCACTCGCCCAAATGGCAGATACATGTGTCAAGTTTAATAAAATTAAGTTATAAGACATGACACGTCAGACACGAGCAGCATTGCAAAAACACAAATTTCGTTGATATTGGGTTTAGCCCACAAAATTAACACGGGCCGTAAACATATTTTAGATAAAGCCCATTAATGTTAAAAAAAGTGAACATCAGTTTCTTCTTGGCTGTGCTAAAGCACGATTTCTGAAACCCAGAAATTTCGTTGTGCTCACTCAATTTTCGCAACCAAAATTCCCACGATGTCAGGTTCAGTTATCAAACGAAAATCATGATTTCATTCATTAAATCCTTTTCGTGTCCCTTTTTCTCTGTTCTCTCTTTTCGATTCAATTCAGTACAGTTTTGTTTATCTTCTTGATTTACGCTTAATCATCTTCAAAAATTTCTCCAATATCTAATTCTCATCTCATTTATTTTTCCCAGTTGTTGATAATCACTTTCGTGTCAAGTGTCCCTGTTCTCTTTCGTCGCTTCAGTTGATTAGCTTTTCGTCTTTTTCGTTAGATTATTTGAGATTATGTCACAGTCATCATGCCATTGGAGTATACTCCTGTGTCAAAGCTCAATTCTTCGAAACAAGAATGGAAAACTAGAGTTTTGATGTCCCGTGCCTGGAATTTTCATCCACAAATGAAACCCGACTTTATTCTCGGCATGGAAATCATTCTCTGGATGAAAAGGTAACCAATTTTTGAATTTTATTAACGCATGATTATGTCTAAACGATTTTTTGTTAGAAAAAGAAATCCAACTTAACAATACAATGGTTTATGTTATAGGGAGACAGGATTCAAGCAAGCAAGTACTTGAGATGACTTCTTCATGATACTTCAACCGTGATCTTAAAGCCATGTAATTGAGTTGGATTCTTCAGTTTCCAAGTTTTCTACTGCAGTCATAGTTATATAGTGTAGCGATGAAATATGTGTATGTGTGTCTGTCTTATGCAGAAAATGTATTAGTCTTTAAAGATGTCATTAAGACTGCTGATCTTGGACTGGTCTGGGAGATCAATTCGAGTCCACCTTATACAGCATATGTATACACGTTGGTAAGTTCGATATGAGTCCTTAAGAAAATCATTCTATTTGTAGTTCGATGATACATGTGCTGATGGCAATTGACACTATGATTTATTCCATATTTTTGTCTTTACTCACGCATAAAGTCTGTGCTCTAAACTTCTATTAGGTATAGGGCACCTGAAGTACTACTACAGTCATATGTTTACACTTAAAAAGTTGGTAAGTGTTCTCTAAATTCCAATAAAATGTATCTTTCAACATGGTGTAGTTCATATCTTAACAATGGAGTAGTTTTGATTGTGTTTCAGATATGTGCGCTATAACGGCTGAGTTCTCTTTTTCCTGGAGCTAAGCTAGGTATTTGTCAATGGTTTTTTTTGTTGTTGCTTAGAACGTTATGAATATTAACGAAGTGGTTAGGATGTACAAAAGCATAGCCTACACAGGTTAGCTCTCCGGCAAAAAAAAAAGTAATAAAAAACAGAGAGCTAACAAAGATTTCAGGAAACAGATTTGAGGGATCATGTAGATATTCTCCGGAACAAACCGAGTAGAGCCAAATTAGCTTCCCAGGTTCTTTACTAGCCCTTTTACATACTCATTTCAATGTTTTGTCATTTTAATATTGTCTGATTCTCTTATCATTACTCTGGTTTAATCATGTCACTGCAGCTATATTCCTTGAAAAATGAATGAAAATTAGAGCTTTTGTGACTCGAATTTGGGATGGAAATCATCTCCGTGGATAAAAAGGTATGCATGAGATATCGATGGATTGATTTTAAATAGTATGTTTCTATTTTACAAATCTAAGCTTCGAATACAATGGTTTATGTGACAGGGGATAGGATTCAATCTTCCTTGAAACGGATATTGGTTAAAAAATCTAAAAAGGAATTGAAGGAAGGATCATGTCGTGATATCATGAATTTTGAAGTACTGGATAACAATGGCGATTACAGGGGAACCACAAACCCTCACAAAATCAGTTTCTTATTAAATACCTATATGAAGCAGTGTGATCATATCCCAAAAGCTTCCGTTTCTGCCCATTTAGATTGAAAGTCAAGCTAATGTTAGTGATGTTTTCATTGATATGTTACTTCCCTTAAGTTATATGTTTTTTTTATATCATTAGAGCAATCGATTTTTGATCAACATACTTTCTTTCCTCTTGTTTTCCTACAAACATATTTGGTGAAATTGTTAGCATGAGTGATGTTAAAGAAAAAACTTTTATAACAATTCATCAAAGTTGTTGGATTAACTTTGGTATATAAACGTATAAACGGTTTTTTTATTTATTTTGCAGGCTTGCAGCTTTGGTCTTCCCAATATCAGCAAAAGCTACGTTTGGTGAGAAAAGAAAGAAAAACAAAAATAACTTAAGTCAAATCACATATACAAAACAGACTCTTCTTCCTTGATACTGAATTAATTATTCGTTTGCTAGGAACATGATTATATGTTGTGGTGGTGATTTTACAGAGAACAAGGGTAAAAAGCTCAGCTTGCGCACAATTACAAGACCTATAGTCTATAGATACAGCTTGAGAAGCACAACAGGAAGAAGACGAAAAAAATGATGTGGTAAAACTAGAAGACGCGAACAGAGGCTTAAGAAGCTTGGGTGGTAGGGAAAAGCGAGAAGGACCCATGTTTCGATCAAGACAAGGCTCAAGTTAATCTTCTTTTTTTTTTTTTTTTTTTATGATCTAGAATTTTGCAGCTTCCTATAATTAAGATTGTAAAGATATATTATTATATTATGTAGTATATTGACTTCATTTTATAAAATGTATATACATATTATGGTACTATAAGAAAAAAAACAAAAATATGTTTTTATTAATAGGTTATGTTAATACAACTATTTTGTATATCTATATTTTTCATTACAATGCTTCCTAACGTAAAGCATAAAAAGGTATGCTTATATATAACGAACTGTTAGCAACAACATTATATAATGAGAAGTACCTAAATTAGAGACCGGGGGAGAAATGGAACAGTACATTTGAGATAGTGTATGTTGTTATGCAAACCGAATATGAACTCTATACAAAAAAAGAAAACCAGTCATGACCACAACTTTATGTAGCACATATTGATGGGAAATTAGTTCGTGAATATAATTCGACTTTGATGCAGAGGGAAATGCGATGATGAACCTGAGAGTCTAAGAAGTGAATGTAATCATGTTGACGAAATTGCATGTATGTGATCATTTTCATGAAAGAAGCCTTTACATATTTGAACATCAAAGAATATTATTATCTTAACTTCCATGTAAACTCAATTTCCTTATACAGTAGAGTCACAAATCAATATCAGACGAGACTTATACCTTTTATTTTGAACAATAGGGATGTTTATCGCATAGAAACGGTCATATTATGTATATTGTTTTGTTTCTCCTCTATTTTCACTTCTAAAATCATGTATTTGTAAGCTATGTGGAAGTTATCCATTTCAAAAAAAGTTATGATTTACAATGGTTTATTTTGACAAAAGAATATTAAAAAGAAGGAAATTGTCCCGTGCGTACGCACGGGGAAATACTAGTTTTATGTAAATACATATCTATGATAATATACTAAAATATAAGTATAATTTTCACTTCTTTTCTACTAAAACTCAAATATATTTAGGATTCATACCTAATTTTAGAATGAACCTATACAGAATATAAAAACTTTTAAAATTTCTTATTTTTATTTAATTTAATATTTATTTTAATTATTGTTTAAATTAAAAAAAAAACTATTTTATTCTAGATCGATAATTTTATAATTCTATAAATTAATAAAATATCAAAGTCCCAACTTTATTAATTTATAGAGTTTTTACTGTAATATGTTTTTCTTTTGTTTATAAATCTAAGCTTCGATTACAATGGTTTATGTGACAGGAAGATATGATTCAAACTTCTGTAAAATAAATTGTAACTACCGTAAAAGAGCGAAGTTTTGCCCTAGTTATATCATCATATCATCATTTGTTCTTATTATCTCTCCCTGACAACAAACCAATTCAATTTTCATATCATTTCTTTGTCTCTTTTTTAATTGTAGTTTTGTTTTTAATGTGTCATTATTGTTTGGAAGATCAAGAAGAACAAACACCACATGCAAGTGGACAATATAAATCATTTTGAACTCTATGGCTATTGACTTTCATTAAGATCCACATTCGAGATAACTTATATTGCTTTACGACGAGTGCTAAACCAAGGCCCTAATTGGTGTATTGCTGAATTGCTGAATGCAGCTGAATTCAGCTGAATATTGTTTATAAGACACCAGTCACATTTGTTGAATGCAGCTGAAAATCTCACAAAAAGACAAAAATTGAAGAATTTTTTTTTCTTCAATTATTAAGATTTCCCATAAAAAGACAAAAACACAACTTTTACTTTTTGTAGATAAATTGAAAAAACTAATATCATGATTGAAATATTACTTATGATGTTAAAATTGCTAAATTTGCTTTAAAAATGCTAAAATTAATAAATTGCTAAAATTAAAACGAAAATACATAATTTATTTTTTAGGTTTAGTAAACTATAATGACACAAAATTCTTCAGTTATATATATAATTTTTTTTTATGATGTGACTATTGTTAGGTATTTACTTATTTCATAAGTATATGTTTTTTCATAATTCAACTGGGTAATTATTTTATTATTTTGTTATACAAATAATATTTTTTATATTTTTATACACTAGAGACTTTAAAAATTTGAAAACATGAATTATTTTTAAATTATAAAAAAGTTTATAATATTAAACCAAATCACCCATCTATTTAAAATTTAAATGATTTGTGAGTAAATGATTTAAGTGTAATAAAATATTGTTGTTTTGTTAAGATAAATTCTGTTTATATTTCATAAGGTTAATCATATATATATATATAATATTTAATACCAATATTTTTGTTTGAATTTTCAAGTTTAAAAACAAATTGTTTTTTTTTATTCCGCATTCAGCAACATTCAGCAGTTACCATTCATACTATTAACTAATCAGCCAGATTCCGCAAAAAGTTTTCATTTAATTCAGCCAGATTCCGCATTCAGCAACATTCAGCGGTTACCATTTAGACCCCAAGCAATAAGTTTGCTACATAGAACATTAATTAATCAAATAATTTCCACCCAAAACTTATGTGTATGACAAAGTAAAGATTGCTTGGCTTACTTCAGATTTTATATATATGGCTGCAACTACTATTTTGTTAAAGAAATATAATTAAATGATTTTTCCGGTGTTGTGCACGCCACCGGTCAGAATACTAGTAAAAGATAACACCACACACTGAATGGAAGAATCTTGAAAGAGAGAATATCCTGGATATGGCATGAACAATTAGCAGTGTTAATTTACGAATCTCTCCAATCGCTGAAGAACACAAATATTTTTTGTTCTCAAACTTAATATATATATATACACCAGCGATAGCCAGCTGCGACAACGGTGACCGGCAGCCAACAATAAAGAAAAACGACGACAATAGAGCTAAAGTGATGGTGATGAGTTGTCGCAGGAGAGAGAAAAGGGGTCGCAAGAGAGTGGCAAATGTCGCTGAAATTTTCAAGCGACTGTTACGGACCTTGCGACTACCATTTTTAAAGGAACAGCGGCATCCTTTTAATAGTTATGTCTCCGTCTATATTGTTTTGGTCGCAGTGACTATCGCTCTGATTGTTCTCCGAACACGGCCGGGAAAAAAAAAAGAGACCAAACTTACCGGTACATCGGTAGCACAAAAGAAAACGATCGTACCGGAAACTATATAAATGGGCAGGCTACAAAAATGGGCCGGTTTGGGAATATTGACCACTTCTCTAAATTTTCCATTCCACCATCCATTTACCATATCTACATATATGCACTGCCCATATATAATAAACTATAATACAAATGAATAGTGTGCATGGTCTTGTGCTTTGATCAGTCCATAGAACTAAACTCCTCCCATTGATGCAAAAACGTAAGCCCCTGCCATGTAATATATACGTATCATGACCGTTTTAAAAGTGAACCACAAATGAATTTCAAAGAAGATAGGGTTTTGTACGTACCAAGAGTGGGCATCAAAACGGCAAGAAAGGCGGTTCCGGCGATCTTGAGAGGCAAGCCTGTCTTGATCATGTCCTTGATCTCGATATGCCCCGTAGTGAACCCAACGACGTTAGAAGGAGTTCCCGTGGGGAGCAAGAAAGCGAACTGGGCCCCAATGGCACCTGGCACCATCAGAAGCAAAGGATGGATTTTCATTGTCTTTGCAATCTCAATGAGTAACGGAATCAACAATGTAGTGGTTGCGTTATTTGAAGTGAACTCAGTGATAGTAGCAGCGATGAGGCAAACGGTTGGAGCAATGGCCCAATAAGGAGCTGTTTCAAGAAAGACCAGTCCCTTGGACAACACTTGAGCTAAACCACTGGTCCGTACTCCATCGGCTATAGCGAATCCAGCTCCCAATAACAAGACTATGTTCCATGGGATTTTCTTGCATTTTCCCCAATCCATTAGCTTCTCTCCTTTTTTAATATTGTTTGGGATTATGAACAAGAGCGTAGCCATCATCACACTGACCGTTCCATCCCCGGCCCGGCCGTTAAAGATCCTACCCCAGCCGGGGATATCGTCGGTTATATTTCTTGTCATCCACAGCACAACCAACCCACCAAACACGGTTAAGACCATCTTCTCAGCGAAACTCATTGGTCCTAACGTCTCAAGCTCTGTCCTGAGATGAGATTTATGGAGATAAGGCGAGAGAGCTTTCCCTGATCCTTTAGGACAATACAATACGCATAGAATACCCCAAAGAACCACGAATATGGACAGTGCCAATGGGAAACCGAAGAAAAACCATTGGCTGAAACTGATTGGATCAGCCTCCGGGAAATAGCTTTTCCACATTCCGACAAGTATCAGATTCACACCTGTTCCTGTCAGTGTGCTCATTCCACCTACTGCCGCCGAATATATCACACCGAGAACCACTGCTCTACAAAACTTTCCGACCACCGGATCCACCACTTCTGACGACGATGACGACGAAGAGGGAAGTCTCTGAAGTATCCCTGTGGCGACTGGCATCATCATGACTGCAGCCGCCACGTTGTGCATCCACATGCTCACGAACGCTGTTGTGGCGCAGATGCCAAGCAGTAGAAGCGGTGCGTTTAGCGGCTCCACGCAGAACACCGACGTTATCTGCACGAATTAGATCATCCACTGTTATTTAATTAACTTATCATATAAATTCATAATTTGTTACGTGGTGACTTTTCAATTATTTATATCAAGGCCCACTTAGCTGGGATATCTGATATAATGATAAAAGCTAATTAACTGACATGTGAAGCCGCACAAATTAATTCATTATTGCTTTTTTGAATGGTCACGGAAATAGAGTATGTATATGTTTCTCATCTATCTTTTTGGCTGTCTTTCTAAACACTACTTCCTCCGTTTAAAATTAGTTATCATTCTGGCAAAATATATATACAATTATTTAAATGTATATGAATATATTTTGAGTTTAATATATCCAAATAATTACAAATACATTTTGTCGAAATGACAACTAATTTGAAACGAAGAGAGTAGGATACTAGATGGATTGTCCTAGGCCACCTAGAATCTATTCATACATAATAAAGAAGTAGAGAAGTAACATAAATGAAAAATATCACTTTTAAAAAAATTAAGGACTCTTGTTATTTTGAATTTAGATTTTCTTGCCCTTAATTTGTATTTTGTATGTTCAATTACCAGACTTTAAGGAAAATAAGTTATCTAGACGAGATTATTGGTTAAATGTTGCAAGTATATATTGATTACATCCCCCACGTATTTACATGGACAAATTACCCAACGTTATGTACTTATGTTACTATAAATTTTCTGATTTTATAAGTGGAGCTCATTCAATTGTAGCTCTCCACATGAAGTATAGTTAACGATCATAGTTGTACATTGTAATTAACTTACCCGTGGACCCATACAAGATTATTTTACTAGTACTTCAATACTATTTCGTAGGATATATAGTGCCCTACATGTATACACGGCTCATCCAGTTAGTTTGCACCACATTTATAAAGATTCCAAGAATCTCACCATTAAATTTCGTTTTGAAACCAATATTAATTAATTTTTGAACAATTCATGAGTAATTAATAGTGACGAAAATAACTGAATGAGTAAATATGCTGAAAGAAAAATAACTAAAATAGAGGAAGAAGATAAAGAGAGAGAAAAGACTGACGTTAAGGGCGAGTCGGCGATGGATGTTGTAGTGTTCGACAGCGAGAGCTAGGATGAAGCTTCCGAGGACGAGGGCGATGACGTCATCCATGTAAGAACTTGCCACGTCATCCGCCGCCGATATTCCGAACAGAGGGAATAGGAAAAGCGGCGACATGGAGGTTATCGGCATCGGAACAGCCTCCGTCAACCACCACGCAAACATCCAAACAAGAACGCCGAGCATGTTCCTCGCCGTTGTTGTGTCATCTTCGCCGAGGCTTGCGCATAGACACACGACGGCGCAAAGAAGAGGACCAAGAGCGATGTAACAATTCTTCGGCGTGAATATTGTCCGGAGATGTTGCCCCACAGTTTGTGCTTCGAGTGGTTTGTCATTATGTACGACCGGTAGGAGCGGAGATTTCAGATCGTCGGATCCGGCGACAGAGACATGACCATCGTTCATTCTGTTTATTCCGTTTATAGGGGAAGGAGAAAAGAAATAGAGAAATGTAAGATTTAAGATGGGAAAGGAGCCTTTTTATACATCAAATTCTTTTATTATTATTATAATGTGTTTGGCAACAAATGAATAATTTTAAATTTTTAATGAATGTGTTCATAACTTTATATTATACTAGGATAAATGGGTCATATAACAAGATACTCTTTTTATTTGCGTGAGTGACACATGGTTAATACGCAAAGGCGCTCCATAGAGCTGTTTTTTTATCAGTAAAATGGGTTTTTTGTTTTGTTTTAGGCTCTAACTAGTGATCTGTAAATGAACAACATGAACGAGAATGAATAAAATATATGTAATTCATTTTTCCTCATATTTTATAAGTAATATTTTAACACTATAATTCCCTAATTAATATAGAATGGTAAGAAATAATATGGAATACACATTCCTTATAAATTGTGTAATTTATAAGGAATGAAAAATAATTGTTTTATTCCCCTCATTCCTTGGTCATCAGTTACAGCCTTAATTTATATTGTCTGTCCACGTAAAGGCTCTAACTAGTGACCATTAAAAGAACAAAAAGAATGGAATGAAGAGGAATAAAATATATGGAACACATTCTTTTTCATATTTTATAAGAAATATTTTAACACTAAAATTTTTTAATCAACATAGAATGAGATAAAATGATATAAAATATACATTCTTTATAAATAATGTAATTCTTAAAGAATGAAAGGGAATTTAAGAAACTCATGAATTCATTGATGAGGGCAATAGCGCCTCCCTTTGTTGGCTCGGAAAGTAGGGCTTTGATCATCAGTTACAGCCAAAATGTTATCCAACGATTATCACAAATATTTGCTGGTTCTTAATTTTATTAATTAATGTATGGGGTCACATTAATAAAAGAGACGGTCTATTTTCTTTGGAATACAAACTCGCATTACTGGATAATGGATAAATATAAAGAAAGGGCATTCTAGAGTGAATATGATGACTTTTCAAGTTATCCAAGGAAGTTGGTGTTTATATATAGGAGTTTTATTCGGTTGCACACAAAAAAATTATAAATTTTATTTTCTTATAAATTATAATGGACCCATGAAAATGATGGGGTCTAACAAGTTTACAAGTTACAAGTGGCGAAGCCGTGATGGTCTGTAAACTCTACCCAGAATCGGATGACCCATACGAACATTATTAGAGATTTAGATGACAATTGTTCATAACTATATATTGCTAATTTAATGAAAAAATGTAATAAAACCCAGTGTAGGGAAACCAGTAACAATATTTAATTTCCAAGAGTTATAGTCTTTTAGATAAACTTTACATGCAGCTTTTCGTTCTATTATGAAGTAACCACAATGTGGAAGTCATTTTAATAATAGATATGAATCAAACGTATTTTGTTATGGTTAAGAGGTTATGATTTAAATATATCCACAATCTGGAAGTCATTTTAAAAATAAAATGTGGTTATGAAAAAGATGGTTGAATAAATAAAAACGAACAAAGAGAAAATAGAAAGAAGGAAAGCCAAACAGTTGGCAAGAGTAAAGAGAGAGTAAGACACGTTATTATAATTGCAGCCTTTGGTAGTCCTCCAGAGCCCAACTTCCCTGGTTCATACCTTCCTCTTTTTGTCATTTTTCTCCAATAATTATTGTGATAATTGTATATATAAAAAATATTCATATATCAGAATCGACATCTATTTGAACATTTAAAGGTTAACCAAACTTTTTCTTTGACTCTAAGAGATACACATGCACTTGGTCTAAACTAAAGATAAGAACACATACATATACGATGAGTTTTGCTATATCCATTAGTCCAACAAAACAAAAAGGAAGACTAAGAATGATTCCCTTAGATAATCTAATATAAAACATAACATAGTGAGAGAGAAAGAGAGAGGTGTGGTACTGATAATAATTTAGTTTTGACGGGGTCCAAGCAATCAGGGAGATGAAGAGCCAAAAGGAAGATGACACGTAGGCAGATCAAATTGATGAATAATGATGAAACAATTACTCAAAATCAAAAGTATAATATATGAAAGATTGAAAGAAATCATATCTCAATGACTCATGTGGCTGTCTTTGATTCCACCACTAGTTAGTAGACCTATATGAATGATTATCATCAACTAGTTTTAATCAGCTGAGGTGTAGACTATGCGCTCTTCAAAACTTATCCTCAGTAGTTTAAATCTCTTGTTACAAGTCTACATTAGACTTGTATTTGTTCAAGTCAAAATCCAACTCATTATCAAATTTCATATTGGATTTTAATTTGTTTCAGAAAGTTTCATTCTTAGTATTAAATAAAAATGTCTCCGACCATTACACCAGTCATTCAAGAAACAAACTTTTACCCGCAAGGGCATAAGTGATTTGTTCGTCTTTCCTAACATACTTGTCGTGCGAATTTTGACAGATAACTTCACAGAGAAAAACAAATAGAGGTATGCATAAACCGATAAACGAACGAAATGCGTATAAGAGATCATGTAATTATACAAAAGAGGAAAATATACCGAATCAATTTCAGTTTTAACTTGCAAATCGAAAACGGAGACAAACAAGTTCAAGTCTCTATCAATGGCCCACTCACATGCTACATTAGGTAAAAGATTGCATTTTTTCTGTCATTTTTCTTTAACCTATGTTTGGAGTCGTACGAGGCTAAACCTTATTCGGACACATGTGGCTACTGATTATACTCAGATGCGTAAAAACAACCCAACATTAATTTTGCTGAAAACAGATGTCGTCTCTATCGAATACCCATATGGTCACTGTTAATTACAGAGACAACCACACATAACAAAACCAAAGTATTTTTTATTCTTTTGTCTTCCAAGTTGTAAGCAGGAAATTAAAACATTTTCGAAAGCAGTGAATAAACCACGCTTGAGTTTGATGAGCAGATCACTTGATTGGTCTCTAAGGCTCTCCTCCAAGCTCCACTCTCAGGTTGTCATACGGATACACTCTTGGCGTCTACAACCAACAGAGTAAGAAAATCATCAAAACAAGGGAAAAACAATGATAAGAAAGAAACACAAAACTAGAATGTGATGAGACGTCATAAACAACAACTTATATAGTAAAAGAACAGAAGCAATTCATATCAACCGTGTAGATAAGAAAACCAGAGAGCAACTTCCTAGAGTAAAGATCCACTACCAATCTTTACGAATCTCCTTTAGACCTCTAATCTATCCATGGTGTGCTGTTTAAGTTCTATAACTCAAAAACCCGCCAAACAAGATTCATGGTTAAATACAATGTCTATGATGCTTGGCCAGTGTCCACCAAGAGCACTAACTCATAGACTTAAGCTTCTGATACAACCCTCGAGGCTAACGTGTTGCGAGTTAGTATGTACGGTCTCATTCAATTAAGACAGGATGATGAAAACCAAGAGGATATAAGATCCATTTCTTCCAGTAGTTTGGTCACAAGCAACCGCAAAGAGCAAGAATTGTACAAGTTCGTAAACAGGCAAAATGCAGAAGAGTTAAATATCCAGGCACTCAGCAGATGAAGAAAAGAACGCAGAGAATAATCTGTTAATGCAAGAGTTTCTTTACACATTTCGTTGAAGGGTTATCGGAAGATTCCGGCAATAACCTTTGCTAAAGAATAAGCCTATGCCAAGCAAATTAGGTGCAGCAAAAACGTAATATGGGCGATAAACCGAAATCAGAGTAGATGGTAAGCTTTAATAGCAAACAAAATGACTATTTGCTAAATATTTTTTTTTGCTGAATCCAGACTCGAATCACACTCAGGACACCACAATGTGTTGGAGTAAGAAACCATTTGTGTAATGCGAATATAAAATACACAAGCAGTCGAAAGATTATCACTTACCCATGGAACCTTTGAAGCTTTATCGTTCAAAACAGCGAGCAGACCGAGGGTCGCAAAGAACCCTAGACCGCCACACAGCCAACCCAATGCTTCATACTGTTCATTTCAAATCCAAAATTAATCAGTAAACCAATTGATTCACACCGGAAAATATTAGAAGCCGTAAAGAAAACCTAACCAACCTTGCCGACGGTATCAGCGATCCGATCTATGCAAGGTTCTGGAAACGCGGTCCCGTTGTCCCACATGAGCTCGTCATTAACCGAAAGCTGAGATGAAATTAGGGAAAGCGCCTCAAAAACTCGAAACAGATTCCAAGAATTTAAGAAGAAATTACAGAAAATTTGACTCACCGGCTTATCGGGGACGATGTGTTTCCCAACGGGGAGACCCATTCCGGCGCGCTGCCGGAGAGAAGAGGCCACGGATCTGGAAACGACGCCGTTTCCACCCATGATCCGTGATGCGACACCGCTCAATCGTCCTGCCATTTTCCTTTTCCGGTGCTTTTTTTGTTTGTTTCAGGTTTCTCGTCTTCTCTCTGGCGATCCCAATCAATCGATTTTAGATAGACGGCAGCAGTAGTAGTAATGATCAAAAATCCCTAAACGGCGTCGTTAAAGGTCAACCCTTTCCTTTGACCACAAAATTTTGGCTACATCTTTTAGGGGTGTTAGAGCATGTTTATTGGTGTTACTTACCACCATCTCTTAGGGAATCTTGCTAAAAAAATAAATAAAAAATGTCTAATTATGCTAAAAACGTCTCTTATATAAGGGAAGTTGAACAATTACAAGAGACGTTTTTACGGGACACGTGTCTAATTTTAATTGGGCGAGCTGTTGGCAAGAAAAAATCCCGTTTCTCTTTTCCTCATTTCACGATTTCCTTCTCTCTCTTTCTTCTTCGGTTCCCTGAGGCGATTCGCCTTTGCTCCCTCCGTGACCTGCTTCTCTTCGATTCTTCGAATTTCATTGAGAAATTACACTGAAATCTAGTCTCCATTAAGACAATTTAGAGAAGGAGACTAGGGAGGGAGAGAAAACGCCGGCGGTTATAGTGTGCGGCGTTGGTATCGACCGATTTGCAATTGGGTTTAAGACCGATTTGTTTTTGTTGGATGAGCTTCAATCTCATTTCTACCATTTGTGTAGAACGAAAAGGTCACGCTTTTGAATGTTTATTGATGGCTACGATAATTCTGATTTGATAACATTTGATATGCGGTTTTAGTAACTGGGATTGCTAATTTGGTGTTTTCTTGGTTTAAACCAGTTACAATTCTCTGTTGAAGATGTTAAATCTGTACTGGGACAAAGAGGTCCTTATAGTGTAGGGGAAAAGACGATTCTTCTGGGACCGAACGTACGTACCGACTTGTGCTCAAGAATCTGTGACTCTCTCTGTTTTCGAGGCTGGAGAAGGAACATATAAGCTTGAGGATGCTACTTCTTCCGGTGAATTGCGTTTTATAGGTTCCACATTACAGCTTAGAGGAACTAGTCCTATAATCCAGCCGTTGGTGGACTCTTCAGCAAAACATTCTAGCTTACAATGGTGTCGTTTCTTTGTTAAGTTTCTTGAATTGTTATGCATTTTCTCTTACATTATATGATATCGATTGGTATTTTTTTGTATGCAGGAGAAGTATTCAGAGGGTTTTGCAAAATCTCAGCGTACTTGCTTCTCTCTCTTGTTCTGGTGGGTTTTTAAAACTTTTATTCGTTTGGTTGTGGAGAGTCAACACTTTTTCTCTGTTTGAGTTGCTTGTTGCTTTAGTGGTTACTGGGTTGGTGAAAAATGGTTACTTTCTTTTGGGAGATTGAACAAATCGATTGAGATTGTTATGAAATGGATATGCTTTTGGGTTTTGATTCTCATATTGTGACTATTCAGGGAAAGCTAAGTAGAGGAAATCAGCAGAAAGGTCAAAGAATAAGCTACAGGAAAGCAAACAAACTTTTCAGTGTTGGAGCAAATGTAAAGGAGATCTCTTTTGACCAGAGCTCAAGAGCTGCTCTTCAAGCTGGTATTGACAAGCTTGTTGATAGTGTTGGTCTCACTCACGGCCCAAGAGGCAGAGAGTATTGGTTACTACATGTGTTCTATATTCTGAGGTTAGATTAGATTTTGCTTTATCCTTGGTTTCATGTGTGTTCTTAGTCCTTAAGAGATTGGATTTGTGATTTGTGTTGTGGGGTGTTTGTGCAGAGGAGATTCAATGCTCTCTTTGTTGTATGTGTATGATGAACCTTGATCTTATTCATATTAAGTTTGTTGTTTTCATAATGCTAAGAGACAATTTGAGTATCACCATTAATCATGTTAAGAGACAACCTGATCTCTTTAACTTAAGTTTATTGTTATAATAATGGTAAGAGACAATTTGAGTATCACCAATAAACATGCTCTTAAGGGGTCTACTGCATCTCTTAAATCCCTATGTAAGTAACAAACCTAAAAGAAACAGTTTGAAGAAATCTCATGGGATGCTTCCTTTTTTTCAAATTTTGTGGTTCATCGTGAAAAAGGAGAGGACTCGACAACACTGGTTCTAAAACACCGCCCTACCGTATTTTGTTTTATTATAAATAGTATTTTAATATGTTTACACACTCTTAAACTAAAATTACACTCTTAGCTTGTTACCAGTTGATTTGACAACAAAGTTGATCTGCAATAATTGCATTAACGGTTTTTCTCTAGAACATAAAGCTTATCACGTAACTTTTTGTTTTCTAAACACCTGAGCTTTACACCGCCTCATTTCTTCTTTATCTTATATATAATAGATGAATAACTCTCTCCAGTTTGCTGACACCTGTCAAATCTCCTCCTTCCAATAAAAAAACATGTGGCAATATTAAGTAAAAAGAAAAAAAAATTGTTTCAAAGTCCTATTACAAAGTTTGTTTTTACAAAAAAAAACCCAAATTTCCTCTTCTTTCACGCAAAAGCCCTAACGCCGCCTTCCCCTCTCAGACATCCGACATCCGCCCACGCCGACTCAGATCTCCGTGAGGTCGCAACCGCAGCTGACGATGAGACAAACGAAACTGCAGCCGCCTTTCCGCCTCAAACATACGTCGCCTCTCAACCCTAGAGGACGCGTCCATGCCGACTCAGATCTCCGTCCCCTCGCAACCGCACCGGACGATGACTGCAGCTCCTTAAGGGACAGTCCAGCCGCTGCCACCACGCACATATTTCCGCACTCGCGAGATCCATCTCAGAGCCAATGGGCTACCCTCCAATCTCCGGTGTCTCAGTTCGTCATAGATCAGCTCCACAACAAGCCGTCTCCCAACTCGGCCTCAGTCGAAACTCCCACCGTCTCCGTTCCATTGGCGTGAAACCGAATTACCTCTTCTGATTTAGGGCTCCCTCTTCATTTCGGGAACCAATGGCTCTGCGTAAGCCCATAATAAGGCCCACACAGTCTTGGTTTCTATAAATACAGTTTCTTTGTTAGTTTCTTCGATCGATTTGGCTCCCCTGAGACTTCCATTACAAATTTACAACACAAACAGGTTTTCTTCATCTCTGTCTTTTGATTTTCCTTTCTCCATTTAATACCGGCGTCCTAAATGTCATTAAACTCATTTACTCAAATCTCCTTAATCCACGGGCCATCTCTTTCAATATAAATACTTCTCATTGCATACCTGCAACTCACATTTGCCGCCATGGAATCTCCACTTCAAGAACAGAGTGAGAACGCTGTGTTTGAATCGCTGTCTGGGACAATCTGCCTTCTCCGTTATTGGGCGGTCTTCAGCGCATTCAATCCTCTCCACTTGAGGGGAATTGTCCTCATGCTGATTGATGAGCAGGTAATTCGTAAAAAGTCTTCCTTCTACCTTTCTATGCTAACGATTGCACTATAAGATTGTCTTACTTATTTCTTCTCCTATTTTACCATAGTCAATTCCTACTTTCATTCATCCAGCTCTGCATCAAAAGCACCAACAAACCTTACGTGAAGGCTGGATTTACAAGCTCGCGCATTTTGAAGTCCGGAAATCGCGCAGACTATATAAACTCACATCGCAGGCTCTTTCTAGCATGTTTACGCCATTAACAAAGCTCAGTCGGGTCCAGTCCATAATTCGTTCCTCCTCTCCCCACAGAGATATTTTCTGTTCGTAGCCATGACCATTTACTCAGTCTCGCCAACACAAATCTGACTCTGCCGGGTAATCTTTTTAGCACATCTTTCCTACTTCCTCTGCGTTACATTGTAGATTGATAACGACTCAGTTTATAAATCAATTTCCATGTCCAATGCATTACTCAGATATTATCGGCACCATCTGACTATGAATTATCTTGATCTATAGTGTAGATAATCAAGAATATTCGATAGTGAGAGTGAACTTACTTATTTGATGGAGATTTAATGTATCTAAACTGGTATCGGTTAAATAACATAGAAAGATCAATAAACTTTAGGCAATGTTAATATATCTAGGTCAACATACTAATGATTTCCCGTTCCTCCGTATTGGTTTTTCATGTTCACGAACGCTTCAGCTGGACTCTTCAAACGGCACACGGTTCTTCTTTGACCAGAACATCCATCCGATTCATAATCTCTTGCAGAGGTGACTTTCTCTCATCTAGAAAAAGGTTTTTTTGTCTGAAAAAGGTCTGAAATTTTGACGTAGTTTGACAGAGTATACACTTCTCATTGATGAATGTTTGGACAATATCAGAAAATAATATTTTGATTTCATACCATCTTTGCCTTTGCTAGCTCTGATGCGCTTTGTTCTTAGTTTCACTTTCACACGTATTTCTCCTTCGGATGCTTTCCAAGAATCAGTTAAACATCCTTACAAAGTATAAACCTTTTTCGAATTTGCAAGAATCTAAATTTCTAGAAAATCTGTGTTTTTGATAAAAAAAAAGGTTGAAAATTTCACAGGGTTTAAGGTTTAACAAGAACACTACCTGCTCCCAAACATGCTTTGCATACTTCAAATCATCTTCCCATGGGCACTGATTCCAGAAATTCTCAAAGCCTTCCTACAGAAACATAGAAGAACATCACAGCCCATACACATCAAGTGAAAAACTCATACAATTCAATTCCAAAACTGAATCAAAATCTAGAATTCGAGATATAATGGAACCAAGAGAAAGAGAGATGAGATGAAGAAGCAAAGAAACACACCTGGAACCAGGTTTTGAGATAGAAAGCGGTACAGGAATGGCCACCGGCGTGGAGGAGACGGAGGGCGACGCTCCGCCGCTGAGGAGTATGGCATGGAGCACGAGAGGTGCTGGTCATTGACAAACGCATGGCTATAATTACGGCGGGAGGAAAGGAGAGGCGTCACCGGAGTAGAAGATTGAGGAGACGGAGTTTGAAAGTGAGAGGATAAGGGGAAAAGGCGCACTTAAAGTGAGAAAGCAGGAGAAAGATGAGGAAGTCGGAAAAACGACAGTGACGGAGAGAGTATGGGTTTGACAACCCCGCGAACGTCATCGGAAATTTCTAACCGGAGGTTTGTCTCTATCAATGTGAATATCATTGGTGCGGTGAAACTCGACGAATCTAACGCGACGCTTTGCGGTGACGCAACGACGAATCTAACGCGAAACGTACGGCGGCGATGGCGAGAAGATATAATTCTCCGGCGAATTCAAAGGATTTCATGCCAAACGGTTTCGAATCTCACGGGATGACTTACGGCGCTCAATCGCCGGTGTTGTTTCAATCGGACGGTGAGGTTGCCAAACCGACGACGACGACAACGAAATTGGAGTTTTTGAACGGCGAATTAGAGAAATTATGTGGATCATCGTTACAAACAGAAGCTCGATTATCGGCAATGGATGACAAACTCACACGGATGATAGAATCAATGGAGAGGATTGTAGGGAGAGAGATTGGTGGAGAATCTCAATCATCTACGGTACCGGAATCTTCACATACTCCGATCCAGGTACATAACTCTCCTCTGGAACAGAACCGGGAAAATTCATGGTTAGGTTATCGATCTGGGCAATTGAATGTGGCTAATAGAGATAGTATGCTCAAGAAGTTTGAGATGCGTATGTTCACGGGAAGGCAACCGTATGTTTGGCTCATTGAGTTTGAGAGATTCTTTCACATTGGCCGATACTCCGATGGTGAGAAACTAGCTTTGGTTGCACTGTATTTGGAAGGCAACATACGGAAGTGGTTCTATTGGGAGTCGGGACGCAAGGGTTTTAAAGATTGGTCAGATTTCAAGAAGAAATTGGTTTTGATATTTTCTGAATCAATTGAGAATTTGGATATTGCCAACCATGAGATGCCATCATTTGATGGAACTATTCCGTATGTGTGGCTTCAGAAATTAGAGAGGTTCTTTCACATCTACGACGATAAAGCAAAACTTGGCTTGGCATCTCTGCACTTGGAAGGAGTTGCTCGTAAATGGTTCTATCGTGAGCTGAGTAAAAGAAGATTTCTGGATTGGACTGACTTTAAATGCAGGCTAATGGCGAGGTTTGATCCGGTTAAGAATGATTCTCCATCAGAGGTGAAACTGAAAGATGAATCGGTTTCACGAAGAGAAGACGCTCAAGAGACAGAGTTTCAAGAGACAGAATCGCTCTCACAAACTCAGATTGATACTGTTCAAGAAGCAGAGTCGTTGTCTCATCATGAAGCGCTTGAAACGGGATCACTGATGCAAGATTATGATCCGAATTCAAGCGGAGGAGCTGTTCATGAATCAGTTCCACTTATATCAGAAGCAATTGCATCACTCGGAGGAGCTGTTCACGAGCCAGAATCACTAAATCTACATGTCAATTATGAGAAATCTAGTGGTAGTGTGTCTTCTTTGGTACAGACTTGCTGCCTTACCCATCCTGTTTCAGCTTCACCTATGGAGCGCAGCAATCCAACGAATTATGTGGTGGTTAGTGAGATTGCAGTTGAAGAAAGTGTAAAGATGCCTCAGAGTTGGACTCCTAGATTGAAGCCTACGTATACATTTCAACTGTTTGCTTACAAGCTTAGAAGAGTTACAAATAAGAACATGCAAAGGAAGAATCATAAGACTTGGCGATTCAAGTTCAAACGTGGAGCGGAAACTAAAGCCTTTCATTCTGGTTTTCCATATGTCAAGAGGATGCAAAACTCATATACGTTGTTTGAAGGAATGTTCTTTGAAACACACATACTACACCAGAGGAAGATGAGTTTATCTCCAACGTTTTGGATGTTTAACTACACACCTAAGGTGTTAAGAAAGGGAGCTATTCAAGTTTTCGAAGTTTCAAGTGATAAGGTTGGATTGATGAGGAAGAGGACGCCACTTCACAACTTTAATATGCTGCAGCATTTGAACACGTCTCCGTTTCGGTGCGAAATGACGGCTTGTCACGACAGAGCGAAAGAAACGTCAAAGGAATGGCCTGCAAGTGAGAACAACGATGCTACTGAGATGTTTCAGTTTCTGCAAATCACAAAACCCGTAACTGTTACTTTGAGGTTAGCTCAGCCAATATCTACTGCTACTCAGGTGAAGGATACAGAGATTTGTAGCATTCAGAGGCCATCTTCTTCTGTCAGACGTTGGACTTTACAACTTGATACTCATTTGTGGCATCGATGGAAGAACAAGATTGGGATATTACAGATTGTTTCAGAACTGGTGCTGCCGAAAGTGGATCTGTTTCAGGTTACAAGGTGGATCGTTTTGCTTAATGCAAGCTTGAGGTCAAGCTTGTTTTCAAGGGAGGGAGTATACAAGGGACTATCTACTTGTATATTAATGGTAGATGTGCAGATTTGGTTGTTATCAACAGCAAGTGAGTATGATATTCTCAAGAGAAATGCTAGAAAACAGAGGGAGAAGAAAAGGTTGATTACACATCTACTGCAAATTCTGATACAACAAGAGGAGAAATGGAAATCGTTTTACAAATCAAGAATGTTCAAGTATAAACGAATGGTGACTGGATACAAAAGCTATTCTGCAATCATAGGGACCAAGAGGCAGAGCTCAAAACTGTCACTAGCTCTTAAGTGGGAAGGAGTGTTGAATTCAGTCTCAGCTGCCATTGATCCAGCGAAGGTCTTTCCGGTTGCTTGTGTTACAATTCTAAACAGTAGAAGAGAGTGGCAGCCACTTGAGTTTGATCTTGAAGGTTATGGCTTCGGTTTTTTCATACCAAGCTTGAGGGCAAGCTTGTTTTCGTTGGGGAAAGTATTGATAAGCTTCACCAAAATAAGAAATAGAAAGCAAAGTCTCTGGTTGAAGGAGAGGGTTTGCTGTTACTGAGAAGTAGTATAAATAAGCTTTGTACACTTGCTTTAGAGATTATGCATTTTGTAAGTTGTAGACGAGAAAGCGTGATGAGCTTATCGTGAGGATCGCCATGAGATTCTCGTTCACAATCGCCATGAGATTGTGAACCACAGCTTGTAATCTGTATTTCTTCCTTCAATCGAGTAATCATTTCTACTCAAATACATCTATACTCTATCAGAATATTAATTTGATGCCCGTTTCGAAGAAAAGAAACAAACACAGTTATTGGTGAATTGTCGTAAAATGAAATTTTGTAAGATTTCTTTAATCTGAACTATAAAATCAAGTCAAAGCCGAGAATTTATTTAATCAATGGTTTAAACACTTAACCATAAATTATATTAATGAGCTAAACCGAACCGAATGCCAATTGCATCTAATTGAACCGATCCATGTTCAACTGTTCTACGTTAACCGAATCCGAGCCAGATTTATTTAAATCCTAACCGAGTTTAATTGAACCTTTTTATAAATTGGTACTGGGTTAGATTTTTCTTTTTTAATTAGAAATAGTCTACTAAATAAAACCGATTTCAGATCATTGCTAATCAAATAAAATCAATGCAAAATAGGATGTAACCGAAAATAAACCTCATTTGAAATTGGTTGATAAATCAGACAGGTATTTAAAACAACATGTTTGATTTGGATTTCATTTTTGTGTTTTTTTAGAATATAGTATTTGATTGTACACCATAAATATAAGAATTTGATTAAACAAAAATATTAAAAAACTGTAATATTCATAACCCGCGCATCGCGCGGGCTTAGTTCTACTTTATATAAATCGAAAGCACGGCTTCTATAAGTCATGGGATTGGTCTGTATGAGTCCACCTCAACGACTCGTGACACGTCATTTTTCTTCAGATTCACTGTTAAACCGAACATTCTTCGTATTCCAACACTCCGTTTGTTGTTCTAAAAAGTCTACTAGTTAGGCATTCACTGCTTCACATGCTACAATGAGACAACACTTTCAGTCTCCCCTTTTTTGACTAAATATGTCAAACCAAGCTTTCTTGTAAACACGAACAAGCAGACAACAACAAGATATACACACAAAATAACCAAGAGGACAAAACAAACCGAAATACAAACCACCTTCTTAACATTTAGCATGAAAAAGATAAGGTTCACAAAATAACATTTTTAGCAATCTCACTCTCTCACAAAAAAACCAACTCAACAGAGAGACAAGAGGATTGCAAGAGCCGCTTATAGCCAAAAATACAATAACAGCACACTAAACCAACTCCCCATAAATACTAGCAACCCCTAAAGCAATCTACACCTTTCAATCTCCACTAGACTCCACTTGAGACTTATTTGAACCAGAATCCTCTTGAGACTTATTTTCACAACTAGATACATGCGATACTTCACCATAATCTCCCCGAGAAGGAAAACCTTCAATGTGAGTAAATATGTCAAGAAGGAGAGTAGAGGTATGTTTCAGGTCTGCAACCAGGAAGCGTCCAGAAACATATATGACAGAGCAGAGGTCTTCTTTCTTACAAGTCTACGGCGAACATCAGTTTTGAATGCTTTGAGATAAGGCGTCATAAGTTCATTCGGAACAAAGAGAACCTTGGTTTGAAATTGGAGGAATTCAGAGCAATAAAGCGAACACTTTTTGTCTTCACAACTTTAAAGGGAAAGTTCACTTTTGTCTCTCTCCAAACCCTAGCTCGCGTCATTGTACTCTCTCTTTGAGAAAGATGATTCGTTCTCACACCCACGGTCAATTGTAAAGAGACGCTGAAGAGAAGCGAACAAAACAATGCAAGGACCATTCTGCTCTTCGTGACTCGGTCAGTCCAATTTCTCTTGTTCGCCTTCCTCAACTTCGCTGTCTTCTCACAAGTCATCCTCTTTGGAGAGTCTTATCAACGCTTCCCCTATCGTACCCTTTATCAAGAAGAAATGTCTTCATAAATCCCAAAAATTTGATCCTTAACTTCGGAGATATTGCAATAAAACCAAGAGGTTATAGCTCGACTGGTAAATGATCCTAGGCAAAGGTTAAAGCCTTAGAAGTCACAAGATCGAGTGCCGCTTAAAACAAAACCAATACTAGATGTTGTGGTTCCAGGCCTAGGGGAATGTACGGGTTTCTGCCCAGAACCTCCTAGTAATTTTAAAAAAAAAAAAAAAAAAAAAAAAACAAGAAGAAAGGTCGTGAATCTTCACTTGGATGAAACCCTTTGGACATGCTGCATGGAACTGATTGTTGGTAGCGTAAACCCTTTGGTTCTTTAATGGTCTTTGCTTGCCTATGTATCATCACTTCCCCCATCTCATTTTACTTTTAACCACAGTTCAAAAAAACGGTGAAAAGGAACCGGAGAGTAAGTACGATAACGTCACATGAGCTGTCTGTCTCTTATTACTAGCTCTCCTTCCATATCATCTTATATATAATTAGGGAGTGTTCACTCCTTCTAAGCTGTCCACATCACCAAATTAATCCATTTTATTACTCTATTTCTAATTAAATTTACTGTTAAACATTATTCTCTTTATATTAATTAATCAATTAATTTAAACACATTTTTATTATTATCTTTCACTAAAATAAAATTTATTATTTGTCAAAAAGTCTAAAATATTTTTACAAAGGTAAATTAATGAAAGTATCAACTAAGAAAATAAATAGAGAATATATATATAATTAAAATAGTTCTTTAACATAAAGATTTTAAAAATATATAATATATATAAAGATGATTACAAATAAGAAAAAAATTAACATGTTTAAAATAGCACATGAAACAATATTGAGTTTATAAGAATTACCAATTAATACAAATAGGGAAAATTATACGCACATTTCTAAATGTAAAAGAAAAATTTGAATATATTTTAATAAAAACAAAAAGGTTAATTTCAAAGAAAAAACACATATAAAGTTTTATAATGTAAATGATTTTATATATAACATATTTTATGTAAAAGATAGTGTTAAAAAGGCATTATTATTATACGTTCAAGTAAATAATAGTGAAAAAAATGTATGAAGATGAAAAAAATATATAACTTTGAATTTTGTTTAGGATCAATATCATAGGATGTGTTATATGTGATTATGTGAATGAGAAAAAAACGAAATTAGAGTAAATGGCAAGAGATAAATGAGTCCATCAATATCATAGATGATGGAAGAAATAAATGACAATGAAAATGTATTAGACAAATACAAAATATTGAAATATTTAGTATACACAATACGAAACTAAATGTTTCAAACCTTTTTAATGTACAGATGAAACAAGTCAGTTAAATGAAAATATTAATTTTAGCAAAATATATATGTTGTATGTTATTTGGTAAATTAGTTTCATATTTATATATATTTATGTAGATTTTTTTTTTCAAAAATTAAATAGTTTTTTATATTAAATCTCGCGCAATGTGCGGGTGTATAAATCTAGTTTCTTAAATACGACAAAATAGGTTGATGAGGCAAAGTCTGTATAGCAGAATTAACTAAGCATGGATTACGTTGACGTCAGCGCTGCTTTAACCTGTCTTTAATTTACTACGTACCTCTTCTGTTTATTTTCACATACGACAACCCAAATATTTACAAATGTGATGCAACGTCTCTTTATAATTTCAAACTAGATCTTGACCCGTGCTGCCACAGCACGGGTTATTGAAATTATTGTTAGGCTGATAAACAAAACAAAAACAATTTTGATTATTGATATTTTGGGCTCATTCTTCGATTTATAGATGGGTCGGATTCAAAATTGAATAGGCATGATGGTATTAGATGTCTTACTAAGTAAAGTGACATCGTTTTGTTTTTTACTCGTACTTGTAAATCAAAGTTTCGAATTTGGGAGCCGTTTACAAACCGAACCCTAAATCGTTAATCGAGATTGTGTCTCAAACAAATTGGAGATCCTCTTTTCTCTTCTTCTGTTGTAACTACATACTGGTCGAATCGCGGATTGATATTGCTCCTAAGATGAAAGAGGTCGTGAATTTAGAATTTGGAGTCTGACTTGAGAATTCGAATTGCATTTCGAGGAGTTTATTGAGGTATGTGTGTTTGTATTCTGCTTTAGTAGATGTGAATTTGATGTATAGTTTAATTGACTTTGATGAATGTTTGTTTGTTGTATTGTCGGAGTTGGTGATTATCCTTCTCCATCCGTTTATACCAGCTAGATCTTGGCCCGTGCTTAGGAAGCACGGGATGTTGTGATTTTTATAAGATCATTTTAACTATTAACACAATTATGTAAATAATAGTATATATGTTTGTGATATATAATGATGAATTAGTGTTATTTTGATTATTCAAGGATGAGCTGAAATAAATATGCGATCATTAATGTTAAATTTGGGTGAGTTAAAAATTGTTACTATTTAAAACTAGATTTTGACCCCGAGAGAACGAAATTAAACCGATATCGAAATCTGAATAATATAACATAATATGTGTCGTTTTACGGGTTTGCTTGGTTTGATTTGAAGAGTTATAATGTTATATAATATTTCAGATTTGACAACCCCTATTCGTTATTTCCATTTCTTCGGAAAGTTAATTCACATGGACAAATCATAAAGCGGAACCAATATTCTTTTATGTTAGCTAAATCTATAAGTTTGATTGTATTATTATGTTCTGAAATCGATTTGGTTCGGTTTAGGTTAACCGAACAGGTAACCAAAAATTTGTAAATCCGCCGAACATCGTCGTTTAACCATTTTTCTGTTTCTTCTTCACCGACCTTCTTCCTCCTTTGACATGGCTTCTGATTATCTATTTCGTCTTCTTCCTTCAAGCACATCGCATTCTCCGTTTAGATAATTACACACTTTTCAACTAAAGAGTCTCTAGAATTATTATAATTTTGGAATTTCTGGAAATGATGAAATCTCTATGAATCAAAAATTGAGTTTTCGGGGTCTGACCTAATGTAAAGGCTTCTAGTTCTCTTCGTCTTGGATCCTCTT